AGGTGCTCCCAGGTACTCCCAGGTACTCCCAGGTACTCCCATGTACTCCCAGGTATTCCCAGATACTCCCAGGTACTCCCATATACTCCCAGGTATTCCCAGGTACTCCCAGGTACTCCCATGTACTCCCATGTACTCCCAGGTACTCCCAGGTACTCCCAGGTACTCCATGTACTCACATGTACTCCCAGTATCCACCCCCACAAGTACTACATGTACTCCCATTGTACTCCAGGGATACTCCCAGGGTATCAAGTTACTCCCAAGTACTACGATGTACTCCCAGGTACTCCCATGTACTCCCATGTACTCCCATGTACTCCCATGCACTCCCAGGTACTCCCATGTACTCCCATGTACTCCCAGGTACTCCCATGTACTCCCAGGTCCTCCCAGGTCCTCCCATGTACTCCCAGGACCTCCCAAGTCCTCCCAGGTCCTCCCAGGTCCTCCCATGTACTCCCATGTACTCCCATGTACTCCTGTACTCCAGGGCACTCCCCAGGCACTCCCAGTTTACTCCCTGGCACTTCCCAGGCACTCCCAGGCACTCCAGGCACTCCAAGGCACTCCCAGGGTACTTCCGGCACACTCCCAGGCATCCCCAGCACTCCAGGCACTCCCAGGCACTCCCTGGCACTCCAGGTACGCCCAGGCACTCCCAGGCACTCCAGGTACTTCCAGGCACTCCCAGGCACTCCAGGCAATCCCAGATACTCCAGGGCCTCCAGGGCACTACCAGGCACCTCCCAGCACTCCCAGGCACTCCCAGGCACTCCCAGGCACTCCCGGGCACTCCCGGATACTCCCAGGTACTCACACAAAAAACATCTGTTCTCGACATTTTTATTTTTTTTGTTATTAAATAATTTTTGTCTGTTGTGAGGAGGAAATTATTGATTTTGTGTGGTGTTTTGTGTGTGTGTGTGTGTGGGTGTGTGTGTGTGTGTGGGTGTGTGTGGGTGGTGTGTGGGTGTGTGTGTGTGTGTGTGTGTGTGTGTGTCTGTGTTGAGCGTGTTGTGTGTGTGTATGTGCGTGTGTGTATGTTGTGTGAGTGTGTATGTGTGTGTGTTTTGTGGTGTGTGTGTGTTGTGTGTATGTGTGTGTGTGTATGTGTGTGTGTATGTGTGGTCTGTTGTACCTACCTAATTGTGGTTGCAGAGGTCGAGTCTCGGCTCCTGGACCCCGCCTGGTCATTCGTCTCAAGGTCCACTCCCTGCGCCATGAGCTTGGTCCGTACCTCTTTTAAAGTCATTGTATGTGCTTCCTGGCTCCACTGCATCACTCAGGGGGGGTGTACGAGTCCTCTCTCTCTAGTCTCTTCCTGGCTTTCAGGTGCGGCAACTCGCAACAAATTGTACACTCTATAGTTTTTCCAATACACTCTATCTCTCTCCCTCCATGTCTCTTTCGGATTCTATCATCAAAATTGCCTATAGCCAGCCGTAACCAGTTATGTTTTCTCTCTCTCTGGCTCGCTCTCTCTCTCGCGCTATCTCTCTCTCTCTCTCTCTCTCTCTCTCTCTCTCCTCTCTCTCTCTCTCTCCCTCTCTCTCTCTCTCTCTCTCTCGCTCACTTTATCATTCCTCTCTCGGATTATCAATACGAGTTTCAAAAAATTTTTTTTTTTTGCCACTAAGAGGAGAAATATTTTTTGTCCAGGTGACTTTTTTTTCACTCTTCTCGTGGAGTTTTTTGATATTGCTTCATTCCGAAATTCTGAAAAAAAGATTTTTTTGTTGGCGTAGCTAAAACGTGGACTCGAAACTCCTCCCTGTAATCCGTAGAGCCCGGCCGTTTAATACATGTTGTGTCAAGTTATATGTATATTATATATGAATATATATATTAAATTTATATATATATATATTATATATATATGTATATATATATAATATATATTATATATTATATATATACAGAGAGAGGGAGAGAGAGGAGAGAGAGAGAGAAGAGGATGAGAGAGAGAGGAGAGGAGAGAGAGAGAGAGAGAGGAGAGAGAGAGGAAGAGAGAGAGAGAGAGAGAGAGAGAGGAGAGAAGAGATGGAGAGGGAAGAGACGGACAGACAGACAAACCTAAACTTGTCCAAACCTGGGTAAAAAAAAGACAGATAGAACAGAGATACGGCACAGAGACACATACACAGAGACCAGCAATACACAGCGAGACAGACAAGAGACAGAGAGACAGAGACACGACACAGAGATACAGACACAGAGACCAGTCCAGAGACACAGACACAGTCACAGAGACACAGACCCCGAGACACAGACACAGAGACACAGACAAGCGACACAACACAGAGACTGAGACACGAGACACAGACACAGCGACACCAGACACAGAGCCATAGCCACAGATACCCAGGACACAGTCACAGGACACAGCACAGGACACAGACACAGACACAGCCACGTGACACAGACACAGAGACACAGACACAGTCACTGAGACACAGACACAGACACAGACACAGAAACAGAGACACAGCACGAGACACAGATACAGTCAGGACCAGACATAGACACAGACACAGGACAGAGAGCACAGACACCGACACAGAGACACTGACCACAGAGACACAGACACAGACACAGCGACACAGACACAGACACAGAGCCCCGATGTCAGGAGAAGTGGGCTCTGTGACCAGCGGGGTCCCGCAGGGGTCAGTCCTAGGACCAGTGCTGTTTCTGGTACTTTGTGAACGACATGACGGAAGGAAATAGACTCTGAGGTGTCCCTGTTTGCAGTTGACGTGAAGTTGATGAGAAGAATTACACTCGATCGAAGAACCAGGCAGGAACTACAAAGGGATCTGGGCAGGCTGCAGACCTGGGCCAGCAAATTGGCTCCTGGAGTTCACTCCCACCACGTGCAAAGGTCAATGAAGATTGGGGAAGGGCAAAGAGCCGCCGGCGGAGTGCAGTTTGGGGGTAGAGACTACAAACCTCATAAGGAAAAGATCTTGGGGGGGTGGTATAAACACCAGGCACATCTCTGAAGCGCACATCAACCAAATAACTGCTTGCAGCATATGGGGCCTAGCAAACCTCAGACAGCATTCCGACATCCTTAATAAGGAATCGTTCAGGACCCTGTACACGTATCCGTTTAGGCCCATATTGGCGTATGCGGGCACCAGTTTGGAACCCACACCTGCCAAGCACGTAAGAAGAAACTCGAGAAAGTGCAAGGTTTTGCAACAAGAATAGTCCCAGAGATAAGAGGTATGTCCTACGAGGAGAGGTTAAGGGAAATCAACTGACGACACTGGAGGACAGGAGAGTAGGGGGGGGACATGATAACGACATTACAAAAAATACTGAGAGGAATTGACAAGGTGGAAAAGACGGATTGTTCCAGAGATGGACCAGTAACAAGGGGACACTGTTGGAGCTGAAGACACAGATGAATCACAGGGTTGTTAGAGTATTTCTTTCAGCCACAGGTAGTCGTAAGTGGAATAGTTTGGGAAGCGAATGTGTGGAGGCAGGATCCATACCTAGCTTGAGCGGGTATGATAAAGTCCGGCCTCAGGGAGAGTGGACTAGTAGCGATCAGTGAAGAGGCGGGGCCAGGGAGCTCGGACTCGACCCCCGCAACCTTCACTAGGTGAGTAAATAGGTGAGTAAAGACACAGACACAGACACAGACACGGACACAGAGACCAGACACAGACACAGAGACACAGACACAGAGACACAGACAAGACACAGAGACACAGACCCAAGAGACACAGGACACAGACACAGAGCCACAGGAACAGGAGACAAGACACAGAGACACAGACAAGAGAACAGACACAGTCACAGAGACACAGACACCGTCACAGAGACACAGAACAGACACAGAGGACACAGACATTAGACACAGAGACACAGACACAGACACAGAGACACAGACACACACACAGAGGACACAGACACAGTTACAGAGACCCAGACACAGAGACACAGACACAGACCGACACAGAGACAGGGGACACACACTCTCTTTCTGAATTCCCATAGAAATAATAAAAATATAAACAACCTCTCAAATATTTATATCATCATAAAATTCAAACCATAAAACAAAAATGGGGAAAAAAATTCTTATTCCCGAGTGACAACAAACTACCTTTATGATGTACCAAAAACTACTTGACTTTGTTAGTTGAGTGACACCACACGCCCAACACACACACACACACACGCACACACCACACACACACACACACACACACTCACACACACACACACACACACACACACACACATCAACACCACACACACACGCACACACACCACACACACACACACCACACAACACACACACACCACACACAACACACACAACACACATACACCACCACACACACACACAACACACACACACACACCCCACACCACACACACCACACACACACAACACACACACACACACACACCCACACACATACACACACACACACACACCCACACACACACACACACACAACACACCACACAAACAGACACACACACACACACAGTTGCATCAAAAACCACACACACACACACACACACACACCACACCACACACACAACACACACACACAACACCCACACACACAGGACACACACACACACTCACACACACACCACGTTGCATCAAAACCACAACCCACACACACACACACACCAACCACACACCACCACAACACACACCCACACGTTGCATTAAAACAAACACACACACACACACAACACACCCCCCACACATACACCACACACCCACACCCCAACCCACAACAAAAACACGATGCATCAAACAGACACATTGACCTTAATGATCATATTGCAACAGTACTAAACAGATGGCATTAACGCCGTTATTGCACGCTCAATTACTGCAGATCAACACAACATATCGCCTCAATTTTCCACTAATATCATTCGTTTTATTGTGTTTCTTGAAATGGCCGGAAACATCATGTTGAAACATTGTATAAGCAACATCCGTCACTACTGCATGCTTAAACATTTGTAAACATTTTATATGCGACATCTGCTAGCATTATCTTATTAACATGTTCAGACATTCGCTTATTAACATCAGCAAACATTATCTTAGTAACATCAGCAAACATTATCTTATTAACATCAGCAAACATTATCTTAGTAACATCAGCAAACATTGTCTTAGGTAAAACATCAACAACATTATCTTAGTAACATCAACAAACATTATCTTAGTAACATCAACAAACATTATCTTAGTAACATCAACAAACATTATCTTAGTAACATCAACAAACATCATCTTACTAACATCCCAACAAACATTATCTTAGTAACATACAAACATTTTCTTAAAAATATAACAAAATTATCTTAGTAACATCAATAAAATTTTATCTTTTAGTAACATAACAATCATTTTCGTCGTTACATCAAACAAAACATTATCTTAGTAAAAAACATCAAAAACATTATATTCGTAACATAAAACAAATCATTAAACTTAGCAGGTGACTAAACATGTTTTTAGTAACATCAGCAAAAATGAGTCTTAGTACTCAACAAACCTTATCTTAGTAACTTCAGCAAACATTATCTTAGTAACATCAGCAAACCATTATTTAGTAACATCAGCAAACTTTATCTTAGTACCATCACAATTATCTTAGTAACATCAGCAACATTAATTTAGTACCATCAACAGCATTAACTTGGCAACTCCGCAAAACATTAAACTTAGTAACATCAGCAAACCATTATCTTAGTAACATCAACAAACATTAACTTAGCAACATCAGCAAACATTAACTTAGTAACATCATCAAACATTAACTTTAGCACCCAGGTGACTAAACCATTATTTAGTAGAACATCAGCAACTTAACTTAGCAGGTGACTAAAACATTATCTTAGTTAACATACAAACTATTAACTTAGTAACTCAACAAAACATTAACTTAGCAAGGGTGACTAAACATTAATTCTTAGTAACATCAAACACACTGTATCTTAGTAACTTCAGCAAACATTATTTGCAGGGACTAAAATTATCTTTAGTAACATCAGCAAACATTAACTTAGAAGGTGAATAACATTATCTTAGGAACATCAACAAACATTAACTTTGAACATCAACAAAAACATTAACTTAGCAGGGTGACTAAAACATTATCTTAGTAACAACAAACAAACATTAATTAGGCAAGGTGACTAAACATTATCTTAGTAAATCAGAAACATGAACTTGCAGGTGACTAAAATTATCTTCAGTAACATCAACAAACAGTAATTAGTAATTTTCAAACAAACACATTACTTAGAAGGTGACTAAACATTATTTTAGTAACATCAACAAACATTATCTTAGTCAACATCAGCAAACATTAACTTAGCAAGGTACTAAACATTATCTTAGTAACATCAACAAACATTATCTTAGTAACATCAGCAAACATTAACTTAGCAAGGTGACTAATCATTATTTGTAACATCAACATACATTTATCTTAGCAACTCAGCAAACATTACTTAGCAAGGTACTAAAAGATTTATTTTGTAAACATCAACAAACATTACCTTAGCAAGGGTGGCTAAAATTATCTAGTTGAACGTCAACCAAAATTAACTTGCAGGTGATAACATTATCTTAGTAACATCAGCAAACATTAACTTAGCAAGGTGACTAAACATTATCTTAGTAACATCAGCAAACATTAACTTAGCAAGGTGACTAAACATTATCTTAGTAACATCAGCAAACATTAACTTAGCAAGGTAACTAAACATTAACTTAGTAACATCAACAAACATTATCTTAGTAACATCAGCAAACATTAACTTAGCAAGGTGATAAACATTATCTTAGTAACATTAGCAATTAACTTAGAAGGAAACTAACATTAAACTTAGTACATCAGCTAACATTATCTTAGTAACATCAGCAAACATTAATTAGCAAGGTACTAAACATATCTTAGTGACAATCAGCAATCATTAACTTAGAAGGACTGTAACATTAATTAGCAAATCAGCAAAATTAACTTAGAAGGAAACTAAACATTAACTTAGTAACATCAACAAACAATTATCTTAGGTAACCTATCGCAAACATAAAATTATGCAAGGGTGACTAATCATTTTCTTGTAACATCAGCAAACATTAACTTGCAGGTGGACTAAACATTATCTTAGTAACATCAGAAACATTTCTTAGGTAATCAGCAAACATTATATAGTATCCATCTGCAAACATTATCTTAGTAACATCAGCAAACATTAACTTAGTAACATCAGCAAACATTAACTTAGCAAGGTACTAAACATTATCTTAGTAACATCAACAACACTTTATCATAGGAACTTCAGCAAAATTAACTTCGCATCGTTAATAACTTTGCTTAGTACATCAACAAAATTATCTTAGTAACATCAGCAAACATTAACTTAGCAAGGTACTAAACATTATCTTAGTAACATCAACAAACATTAACTTAGCAAGGTATAAAACATTATCATAGTAAATCAGCACACATAACTTAAGCCAGGTACTAAACCTTATCTTTAGTAAAACATCAGCAACATTAATTAGCAAGGTACTAAACATTATCTTAGTAAACTCAGCAAACATTAACTTAGAAGGAACTATAACAATATCTTAGTAACATCAACAACATTAACTTAGCAAGGTACTAAAATTATCTTAGTTAACCTCAGCAAACATTAACTTAGCAAGGTCTAAACTTATCTTTGTTTTACTTCAGGCAACATTAAACTTAGGGCAAGGTGACTAAACATTATCTTAGTAACATCAGCAAACATTAACTTAGCAAGGTACTAAACATTATCTTAGTAACATCAGCAAACATTAACTTAGCAAGGTACTAAACATTATTCTTTTTAACATTCAGCCAAAATTCTATTAGAGGTACTAACATTTATCGTTAGTAACATCAGCAAACATGAATTAGAAGGTGACTAAAACATTATCTTAGTTACATCAGCAAACATAATTCGCAAGGTACTAAACATTATCTTAGTAACATCAGCAAACATTAACTTAGCAAGGTACTAAACATTATCTTAGTAACATCAGCAAACATAATTAGCAGGTACTAAAACTTTATCCTTAGTAACATCAGCAAACATTAACTTAGCAAGGAATATAACATTATCTTAGTTAACATCACAAACATTAAACTTAGCAAGGTACTAAAAAACATTATCTTAGTAACATCAAACAAACATGAACTTAGCAAGGTGACTAAAACATTATCTTAGTAAACTCAACAACCTTAACTTAGCAAGGTACTAAACATTATCTTAGTAACATCAGCAAACATTAACTTAGCAAGGTACTAAACATTATCTTAGTAACATCACAACAAACATAAATTTGCAAGGTGACCTAAAAACATTATCTTAGTAAACAATCAGCAAACATTAACTTAGCAAGGTACTAAAACATTCTTTAGTAACATCAACAAAACATTAAATTAGCAATGTACTAACATTATCTTAGTAAAAACATCAGCAAACATTACCTTTAGCAAGGTGGATAAACATATCTTAGTAAATCCGCAAACATTAATTAGCAAGGTACTAAACATTATCTTAGTAAACCTCACCAAACATTTACTTTAGGAAGGTGATAAACCATTTATTTAAGTACACATCGCAAAAACATTTAACTTCGCAAGGTTACTACAAAATATCTTTTAGTAAACATCAACAAACATTCACTTAGCAAGGGTGGACTTAAACATATCTTAGTAAACCTCAGCAAACTTAACTTTGCAGGTGACTAGACATTATTAGTAACATCAGCAAACATTAAACTTGCAAGGTGACTAACATTATCTTAGTAACATCAGCAAACATTAACTTAGCAAGGTACTAATCTTTTCTTAGTAATCAAGCAAACATTTAACTTAGCAAGGTACCAAACATTATCTTAGTATCATCCGCAACATTAACTTAGCAAGGTACTAAAACATTATTCTTTGTAACAGCAGAACATTATTAGCAAGGTTACTTAACAATTAGCTTAGTAACATCAGCAAACATTAACTTAGCAAGGTACTAAACATTATCTTAGTAACATCAACAAACATTAACTTAGCAAGGTGACTAAACATTATCTTAGTAACATCAACAAACATTAACTTAGCAAGGTACTAAACATTATCTTAGTAACATCAGCAAACATTAACTTAGCAAGGTACTAAACATTATCTTAGTTAACATCGTAAACATTAACTTAGCAAGGGTACTAAAACATAATCTTAGTAACATCGCAAACATTAACTTAGCCAGGTACTAAACATTATCTTAGTGACATCAGCAAAACATTTTAACTAGCAAACATCAGCAAACATTAAGTAGCAAGGTACTAACATTATTTAGTAAATCAGCAAACATTAACTTAGCAAGGTACTAAACATTATCTTAGTAACATCAGCAAACATTAACTTAGCAAGGTACTAAACATTATCTTAGTAACATCAGCAAACATTAACTTAGCAAGGTACTAAACATTATCTTAGTAACATCAACAAACATTAACTTAGCAAGGTGACTAAACATTATCTTAGTAACATCAACAAACATTAACTTAGCAAGGTACTAAACATTATCTTAGTAACATCAGCAAACATTAACTTAGCAAGGTACTAAACGTATCTTAGTCACTCAACAAACATTAACTTAGCAAGGTGACTAAATAAGCTTAGTAAACATCAGCAAACATTAACTTAGCAAGGTACTAAACATTATCTTAGTAACATCAACAAACATTAACTTAGCAAGGTACTAAACATTATCTTAGTAACATCAGCAAACATTAACTTAGCAAGGTGACTAAACATTATCTTAGTAACATCAGCAAACATTAACTTAGCAAGGTACTAAACATGATCTTAGTAAACATCAAACAAACATTAACTACTTAGGAAGGTGACTTAAACATTATCTTTAGTAACATCAGCAAACATTAACTTAGCAAGGTATAAATTATCTTAGTACATCAACCAAACATTAAACACTTAGCAGTTGACTAAAAACATGATCTTAGGTAACATCAGGCAAACATTAACTTAGCAAGGTGACGAAAACATTATCTTAGTAACATCAGCAACATTTAACTTAGCCAGGGTGACCTAAACATTATCTAGTACATCAGCAAACATTAAACTTAGCAGGTACTAAATC